ACACAGACAACCCCGTAACAGTATGCGTTTTGTACTGCTGTTACACAGCACAAAACGCATAAAAACATATAGCGAAGGAGTGATTAGCAGATTGAAACATACAGCTTGGGAAAGTCATAAGCGATGCGTGTCTATAATCCACTGGCTTCAGGAAACAAAATCAGCAAGTCTCAATAGTCGGGATGAGGCCAATTCCTTGGATTCAGGGCTGCATGCTTTCAGTTAATACCCCTTTTCGATGTATGTGCACCACCTCTTCAGAGACCGCTTCAGTTGCATACTTCCTGGCGGATGCCACTCACTGATACGCGACATCCACTGGCCGTCGGCAAGGCGGGCACCATGCTCTGTCAATTAAATTTCACTCCCTCACGTGGTCACAGTGACATCCTGCATGCCACTTATCTGTCTGAGAATCTGATTGTTTATATAGTCGTGGAGAAGACGTCAGGTATCCTTCGCTCCATCATTCTCTTCGTCACAACCGACGCTGTACCTTCATCAGTAACTGCGTTTCACATGCGTACGTGTGTTTGCAGTGGTACGTTCATTTGTTCGTCTGTGTGTGTTTATGTTTGTCTGTGGACGTAAGGAGCGCTAACCCAGCATTTGTGCACTCCAAGTAGTAACAACTACTACCCTCTTCGGTGGCCCTAATATGATATTACACAATAAGCGTAGCTTTGTCAGGCTGTTTCGGAACACTTAAACGAGATGATACCTATCATTTCCCATACGATAACTTCTTGAAAGGTACTCAGAAATTAGCTCAGCTTTGTGAAATTGTTGAATAGATGAAAAAGCATTTTTTTAACTAAAATATTTGTGACATGCTGATATTTTGGCAAAATGCAAATGAGTTTTTTTTTGTTTTTCTAGCTTGGAAGGTGACGGTGATTCGGATATCTGCTCCAAAGATCTCCTATCACCATGCATGTATTCGCCGGCACCATTCAGTCCGTTTAGTGATTGCACTGAACCGCCCGAAACTCCACTTTCTGCCTATGGGGCTGGCATCTCGCCTGCTTTATCACCTATGCCTTCCATGCAGTCGTTACATTTCAAGTAAGCTTTTACATTTTCCTCTTTTTCTGGTTCTTTTAAGAAGCACTTATATGGCAGGAGGAGGGAGTTCAAAATGATAAAGGTTGAATGCGCTTCCGTTATTAAGGATCGAGACCGCAGCAACGATGCATCTGTAAACCGCCAGCTGGCAAAAAACTCGGCTAAACACCAAACAGTTGCACCAAATTCAGTAACAGTGTCACGTGGTGCCACGTAAAAACAGTGTAAGCGGCGAAAACTTTGATTGCATGAAATCGCCGTAAACAGCAAGACACTGTGCGCAAAATTGGCGTGAACTCAATTCCAAATTTCACAGCACAACTCATTCTGGGTGTTTGTTAAGTTTTGATGCGGTGCGGAGTTCGAGCTCGATGTCAGGTCGTGTCGATGCGAGCAGTCATCATCTTTTGGTCTCCGACTCGAACCTGGACATGCAGACAAGGTACCACACGTCTTTTCAAAAATGAATAAACAACCACTCGTGCAGATACATGATAAAGGTTATAAATATTCAAAATTAACTACATAATCAAAAATAGGTGTAAATGTATGTAAAATAATTATTTTGATGGTAATATACTAAAAATTATTTATTTTCAGCACCACAAGTGGACCTTGTTAATACAATTACTGCAGTATTGATTAATTTAGCATGAATCTGTATAAAATGAGGAATATCATATAAAAAAAGAAAAAGCATGTACTTTCCTGAGCCAAAGCAAAAGAAAAGCACTTACGCTGTTTTGGCACATAAAAAGCAAGAGGAGGAAAAAGAGTGGGGCAAGGGAGGAGGAAAGAATAAGGGGACGAAAGGCTGGAAGGAAGAGATGTCACGTTTTGTTGTTTTGCGTAAATTCAAATTTTATGCGCTTTTTGATTTGCTTTTGATTGTAAGACAAATCTATGTAAAATTTAAGTTTAAGTGGTTCACGGTAATTTAGGGAACGAAGCCGTTCGGATGGTGAGGTAGCATCAAAAGGAAGCGCTGAGAAAATGGACACTTCCGTTTTGCAGTCCACCATCTCGGTACTATTTTTTTTTCTTGGATACTTTGAAAACTACACAGTTTGTTTTTAACCAAAAGCTATTTCTCGTAAAAAGTCTAGCAGACCCAGGCCCTCTTCTCAAAACAGTCAGCGTATCCATCACTGCTGCGGAATTTTTTGATGTAGTGCCATTTCGGGAGGCCTAAATTGTTCTTGCCTAAACAACAAGTTTTAGATCCCAACAACATCGTGTCGTTTGCCCACAACATCCGGTCAGTACAAGAAACGACTGTTGCAAAAATATGAGAAGGAACAGGAAGATAAAAAAATACCAAAATGTGAACCGAATCAGTTAGTGACATCTGATTCTACGGATACCGCATCAACATACACACCAGTCGCGGAAAGCACAGATGTGGTTAGAGATTTGGCAGTTTTACTAAAAAATCTCGCCGATTAAGATACCCGGTCTTTGGATCTAATGATCTGCTCCTAAAACGTTCCGGAAATTGGACTTCAAACACACGCGCATACGCGTACGTACATACATATATACATAAAACACACATACGGACACATGTGCAGGCACACACTTGTACATATGCGCATAGATACACATACATGCATTCACACGTACGTAATACATACACATACGTAATATTCACACACATACATACGTATGTATGTGTATACATGCCCAAAAACACACATGCACATAAGAAATACACATACGTACACACACAGACACACACACACACAAAACACACAGATCTGCCTTATCATTTAGGCCTAAATATCCGCTCTTGCGATTATCCGTAATCGGAATATGTGACTTTTATAAATTTATATTACAAAATTCTTTATTACTCAGATCTTTGTTTTCACGCTTCAGAAAGTAGAGGATCCGGAAACCAAGACGGAGATAAGGCCATCAAGCAGACAGCAGCCAGCAGTTGATGACAACTCATCATCATCCATTGCTGAAACACAACCGAAGCCGGTAGGAATGTCTGTTTTGCTAAGCCAGTGAAGCCAAAAACTTATCAGGAAAAACTGTTACCAAAAGTTTAAAAAACTTGCATCGGACGGACTGGGGGTACTAATTGGGGATTCCCTCAGTGATTCATTCATTCGTTTCAGTGGTAAGCTGCTACTGGCCAGAGAGCTAAATCCACATCAGCTTGCTTGTAAGCAGCCTTCGAAAGAGGAAATCGTCGATAGCTTTGCCAGAAGACGGATGCTGTTGGCACTTTTTACCACTTGGGCTGCTTCTCAACTTCGTCTTTCATAGCGAATACGGGAAGAGTTTTGACTTTAACGGTGAAGCCGGACTCGAACGACCTGGCATAGCTGCGCCCAAGCATATGGGAAAGATTGCCAACATGGAATACCCACACTGATTGTCTTGGTTCTAAGAATTATTATCCGAGAACTATGTATTATTATTAAACATTATTATTTTGTTTTTGTTACTATTATTTTTGTTATTACTATTATTTTATTATTATTGTGTTTATATACATATATAATGATGAATTCAAAGAGACGATATGGTTATGAGTTTCAGTTAACTGTTGGAAGTGCATGGTGCAGTGTGCTGTAGTGATTCCTGAAACCCATTTCTAACCTACTTTCTCGGTTTATAAAAACAGTGTTGAAGCTGGGCTCGAAATTGGTAATTCAAAAATCCAGCTTCACTGTATATCTCCACGTTTTGCAGCCGCTGTTATCAGCGAACGAACCGTTTGGAAGTCAGCAGCAATTCAATGCCTGGATGCAGCATCAAATTCTTACTTGGCGTAATCACTGGTACCGAAATCCAGGATCGATCTCATCTATCCGGGCACCAAGCCCTACTTTAATGAGAGTAAGTGTTCGTAAAAACAAGGGCTCTTTTCGATGAACCCAACATTATGGTGAAGCATTCAGCACCAAATACTGCGCTTTTTAATTATTTACATACAAAATCAAAGACATCCCCCCCCCCCCCCCCCCCCCCCCCCCCCCCCCCCTC